ATAGTAATTTGGTATGGCTTCGCGGGCCAAATGTAATTAGGCTGCGGGCCAAATTTGGCCCGTGGGCCAGTTTGACACCTATGCTTTATGTTAACATCCTTTTTTTTGTATTAAAAAAAAAAAACACCCTCATGTGTCTCTGTGCAGGGTTTGGCCACGGCACCAATGTGGTCAACTATGAGGGATTGTCCTGGCATGAGTACTGCTTCAACTGCAAGAAGTGCTCCCTCTCCTTGGCCAACAAGCGCTTTGTCATCAATGGAGAGCACATTTATTGCCCCGACTGTGCTAAGAAGCTGTAAAATGTGCAAACTGTTGTGCATCTGAGAATTTGATGATGTGGAGTTAACACCTAAACTGACTTTTTGACAAAAAAAAATAAAAATTGCAAGGTTGCCAAACTACAGGCTGTGTCAATTAACTTGCATTTATCTATATAAACATAACTGCAGCTTGTTTCAGAGTCAGGGATTGGATACTAACATGACATATTTTCTTTGTGGGTTTGTGATGTGCACTATATATCTAATACAGGATTTTGTAGAGCCTATTGAGACAAAAGTCTTTTCAGTGGCTTACTGGAATCTTTTGGGGGGGAAAAATGCTTTTAATATGCTTCCTGCTGCTAATACATACCAGCTTTGATTAATAGTCTGTTACATCTCTGAATGCACAAATAGAAAACGAGAAAACTGTTTCGATGAACCCATGCTGAAATATAAAGTGCTCATGTATTCTTAATGAGTGACATTAAATGCAAAACATGAATAAAAACAAACTGATATGAAGCCCCATTTTTCCTCTTCACAGCAAGAAATGGAAACACATTTTTTCAAGGCTTTATTGTTTTAACAGTCAGTATCTCAGTAAACTTTAGATATATTTACAGTACAAATGTAATATGTGGACAGGGCATTGTTAGTAAAACGTCTAGAGAAATATTCATATTCACAAAGTTGCCCTTGTTGAGTAGAATGATTGTCGAGGCCGAGGTAAGGAGAAGCTTTCTTAGTTGACTGTGAAACAATAAAAAAACCCAAAACAAACAACCCACACTAAATCTTAATCTAAGGCACCGTTCTAACCTAACATTATAGATGATGTTGAGGACTACGTGCTGTGAGCTCTGCATCCATACCCTGTAACATGCAGACACCGTATGTGTTCAAGCAGCAACTATAACCACTCATTAGGTGTATTCAGGAAAGCAAAGTGGAGTATGAAAGATCTAAGGCTCAGGTTATGAATGAGGCTAAAACATCTGGATGGGAATAAGTGACAGAACTACATAAATGACTTTTTCTTTATGAAAGTTTACACAGCTCCCCCAGGAGTCTGTAAAGTCCTCAGATACGTGCTTTGTTTAAAGAAGGGTAACTTGTGACAGTGCAAAAAGTCTCATGCGTCCTAGAAGAATAAAGATAAGATGGCTAAAAGCGCGTAAGCTCAGAGACGTGGTAAATATTGCAGGACGGTTTATGGAGTCTGTTACATTCTTTGAGCTTATTAATCAAAGCTAAAAAGCTAAAAAGCTCAGACTCCTTATATGTACAGAGAGAGTTTAGTAAGCCAGCAGAGAAAAAGGCAAAAGTTCAAGGTCTCAAACCTCGTGCTTGGACTTTTCAAGCATCAAGAAATTCAACATTTCATGAATAACAAAGAACCAGACAACCAGCCTGACCCACGTCAGGTTTTGTCGGGTGGAAGTGCCCTCCTTATTCTACAGTAGAACAATTGAATCCTGAGCAGACGCACCTGCAACGAACAATCAACACCCCTACATCCTTTTGCGTGACATTAATTGCATTTTGATGACAGTAAAAGCACTGAGAGGCACATCTATGACTCATATCATGGGTTTAGATGTGTTTGTAAGGACAAAAATGGCTCTGTCTGTCATCCAAATCTCAACAGTCTTATTTTAGGCAAAATTTAGAATTAGCGCTTGCAGATACAGAGCTGAAACTTAGGAAACAAAGTAGATTGCCACCCAGTTTTGTTGAGCTCTTGTGAAAGGGGACATAAAGGTTGCCAGGTAGGCCAAACAGAACCTGGCAATCCCGTCACACGGCACCAGTCAAACTGAAACCGAATAGTCATTTACACAGACTCTTGAATTCTCCACAACCTGAGCCACTCCATCCTAAACATGGCTTCATTTGCCTAATACTGATTATTTACACAATATAATAACACTTAAATATATGTAGAAATGCATTTTCATATAGAAACCAACAGCCAAAATTGTATACTACAAAAATAGTTGAAATGCATTTTGTCATATGTAGCAGCTAGTTTGACAGGATATTTAGATGGTGGTTAGTTGGAAAGAAGTGGAACTGATGATGAAGCACACAGAAGAATGAATCACAAAGCGGGAACTAAAGCTCAAGTTAAAACCGGATCATTGAAAGCCTGATTCCTAGTTTCAGTTTAGTAACAAACACCATGTCAAGAAGCTCAGAAGCAGCTAAAAATAAACTACTGGATTTCACCTCTGTGTTGTGACAGGCTGTTACAGGTATGGTTATTCAAACAGTTGGAGGAGTCACCACAAATGACACTAAAACCGGACCCAGCTACAACTCTTGTAAAGTACAATATTAGTAAACTTGTATTCTATATACAAATGCAAAAAAAAGAAACAAAAAGGAAAACCTAAACCAACCGTGAGCTTCAAACAAGTGCAAAAAGTTTACTGAACATGTGGATCTACACATGGTTCGCCTTCAAATGCAACTGCTGTGCTGCTGAAGCCCTCTAGTGGCCAAAGAAGGAAAGGGGGGGAAAAAATCAAGGAGGGGGATGAAATGGCAAAAGCCCAGTCAAGTAATGTATTAACACAGCCAATCCCGAGGTTAGCAGGGATTGCTAACCTGTGCATGCAAGAAAAAAAATTGTTTTAAAAAATTAGAAAGGAGGGAAAAAAATTGTAAGGCCATGTTGCTGCAAAAAGTAGACTGTCGAGTAAATTTAGATCAGTCACATGGAGAACCTGTGATGCCACCTCCACCAAACCCCAACAAAACAGAACGTATAACAATTTCTTCCATTAATTAAGAATAATTCACAAAATCTATTGTGCATGTGTCCTGGAATATTCTCACAAGAAGAAAAAAAGACTAAACATTTGATAACAATAATTACAATATCAAAGAAGCCAACATTAATAAATTATAACAACGCACCCCTGACAAAAGCAAACACTTTAAAAAAAAAAAAAAAAAAAAAAAAATCATCAAAACCGAACAAAATTGAGAAAAAAAAATCAAATCTGGAGAACTAAAAACCACAAGAGGAAGAGGAAAAAGACCCAGGGTAAGCATGTGGAAAGAATAGACAGCATTTCCCTGAAGCACAATTATTAATATATACTTTCAATACATAGTTTCCTCATCATGTAGGGTGCAAACGTAGCACTTGGGTGGTCTTTCCACTTCACCTTGTGCTCCTCCCTCTGGAAAAGGAGGAGAAAGGGGAGAAAGCTGCTTGGAATTGACAGAATTTTTAAGGAGGTCAACTGGACAGGAACTTTAGGAGTGCAGCAATAAGAGGCTTCTCAGCGACGCCGCAGACGTCAAATCTCTGGAGGGACATAAAACACGAGAGTTCTTGTCAGTTGTTAAGTTAGACAATGGCAGCATCGGAGTCATCAGCGACTGACAGCTCACCTGGCAGGGCTTCTATGGGTTGACTGGAGGAATGCAGCGTGCTGATGGGGGTTTCATTGTCTTCAAAGGCTACTCTGGTTCCATCTGAGCTCCCGTCACAATTGATCAAGACATTGTTACAGTCCCCCGCCTCAAGGAGGGGTCGAGACTTGGAGTGGCCGTTAAGGTCAATGAGCTCCTCAAAGCTCCATTGGTTGGATTTTCCATTGACTGTGGAGACCAACTTGGTAGAGTCTTGCTCATTCGTGAACTCAGAACCCTCGACAAGGCGACCCTCAGGTACTGGACTGAAGAAGGGGAACCAAGGGAGAGTAAGAGATTATTATAGGTGTTTGTATTTTAATAGAAATACATCTGAACTAAAATCTGATTCTTAAGAGAGAAAAAAAGATCTGAAATGTAATGTATTTTATGTATTTCTCTGTAAAATGTTAGAAGCCAAACGGTAAAATATGAGATGGGAGTCCTTGGCTTCACTAACATACCAAAACTTGTCCCACCTCTGACATGTTAGCTAACTTGTAATACCGAGGTATTTTGTGAGGAAGAAAAGTGCCGCCAACTATTTGAGGCAGTTTTAGACTAAACTAAACGTAACTCAGTTTGTGGGTTTTGTTGGTTTCTCTACAGTTGTACCTTTCTGCCTGAGTCTCATCTGTGCTTGTGCCATTGTTATTCTCCTTGTCTGTCTCTGATGTCTCGTCCGTGTGGCCCAGAGGCTCTTCTCGCTCTGTTGCAGGCTCACCGGAGGACAGACAGCTCTCATCTTTGTCAATCTCTGTTACTGTATTAGGGCGACAATGAAAACACAGATTAGACATGTCACAAGTCACATAGAAATATATGTAATTTTACACAAGCAATATGCAAGTACATTGAAAGTAAGAAGATACATTCGCAGTTACAGACAAATAATGAAAGTTGCTCAGCATACTTAGATTCTTAGCTGAAAAAGACTGGAGAACTCTTACTTTTAGTTTCATAGTTTATCTGGTCCATTTCCTCATCTTCATTCTCCTGTGTGCATTTATCATCATCTCTCTACACAGGAGACAAATGTTAACCGACCTTGATTGTGAAGGAATTTTCCAAAAATCACAAATACGACCAAATGGGTTGACTGAATGTGAGCTCACCTTTGAATCATTTTGGTCCCCTTTTCTAGTTCTCTTCATTATTTCTTCAATTCTCTGTAACAGAAAGAGTTAGATTAGAAATTAATTTCTAGTAATTACTTTACCAATGTGATCTGGACTCTTGGGTAAAGGAGGACTGATGGTTAAAAAACTGACTCTCGATGTAACTTCTTGTCAAAACAAAATTATTTAATGACACGTCGATGAATCAAGGCCCAAAACAAAAATTAAAAAAGTTGATGCACCCATCATACCTTCTTCCTCTCCATACGCTCCTGTTGGTTCTGCTGCATAATGCGGTCTCTCTCCTGACGAACTCTTTCTGCCTCCTCCTGGGCTTTGGCCTCGGCCTCCTCGCGTTCCCTTTGGAGCTCAGCCTGCCTTTGTGCTTCCTCCTCTGCCAGCCTAATCCGTTCCTCCTCTGCTAGGCGAGCCTCTTCCTCTTCCCTAAGTTTTCTCTCCTCTGCAAGCTGCTTTTCCTCCTCCAGACGTTTCAATCGAGCCTCTTCTGCTAATCGTGCCTCTTCTTCTTTTCTCAACCTAAGATAGTCAAAAATGGCACCTCTTAATTTAACGTATCCTGACAAATGAAAATTATTCGTATTCATTACCAGTATGCCTCAGCCTGTTTCATTAGCTAAAACAATGCAAATCGCACATGTGGCTATAAAATACAAGCAGCTCCAAACTACTGTTGTTATTAAACAACTTTGTTGTCAATGGTATTACGCTGTGGTCATAAATGAGGTTACTGTCATATATAGACAAACAACACACAATAAAAACAATAATTTATGATGATAACTTGTGGAACAAACAAGAACACAGTTCCAGCAGCTCAAATAACCTTACCTCTCCTCTTCCTCCTTCTGTAGCCTAAGCTTCTCCTCTCTCTCTTTCTGCTCTCGCATCAGTCTACGGTTTTCTGCCAGGATCTTGGCGGCCTCAGCAGCCGAGTTGGTGCCTGACGTAGCCTTTGAGTCTGACAGGTGGAAAAGACAAATTCGGAGGTTGAGGACTTGCTGTCAGATACTTTGTCAATGCTGTACAGGCCTGATTTACCTCAACTTTAACCTTTCTTCTCAAATCAAGCTCTGGCAGCACATCATCCCTACCATCACCGACCTTCATCAACACATGGTAAAGTCCCATCCCCTCATCAGGTATACCTTTGCCCTCAAGTATCAGACCATGTCCATTATCATACCCCTGATTCATACTGGATGCCTTTTGAGGCCTGGACTACACTCTTGAATACTCTCCCAGCGAGGATTCGCACTGCTACTTCTATTGTGACTTCCAGACAGTCCTGAAAACCAGCGGCTCACAAAGCTCACAAAGAATTTGTCATGACAGAAAAGACAGAAGCAGAACAGTGAAGAAAGTGTCTTGATAAAGTTCAACTTGAATCCCAGAGTATCCCTTTGCTTTGAGTGAAGTACTCTCCTCAGGAATTCATACATGAGGTTAGACAACAAAGGTTAACACATCAAGCCATTTATCCATTTATGTTTTGGGTGTATTGGGTGTGTTAAGCCATAGTAAGCAATGTGACAAATCTATCAGCTGGACTGTTGAATAAACCCATCCTTCCATTTTCTTAACTGCTCATAAAACAGCCATTGGGGAGCCTATCTCAGCAGACACAGGGTAAATGCTGTTCATACACTCCTAAAAATAAATGTGCAACCTAAACTGGACCATGCTTTTAGAGCTTTTAACACACAGTGGATATCTGGTTGCATGTAAATCCATATGAAAACCATTTTCCCTGCCAGGAGGTGGCAGAAGAAACAGCAAATCCAAATGTCTAAAGCATGCGACTCCAGGTGGTAAACGCTACCTTTTCTGCTTCACCGAGATTTATTGCAATATGTAAACACAATCCCAATAATGGTGTGTCTACTAAAATAAAATGACATGTTATAAAACCATGTTCAGTGATTGTGATTCCCTTGTGCTTAAAGCACAAATTCTGTTTGCAGTTTCCTCTGAATGCAGTAAATGAAGCATGTGCCAATAACTACGTGCAGGACAAACTGTCTTTTTGCAGAAGCAACATTTTTGAAAAAAAGGGATATGTCATTATGACCTGGAGATAATCACCTGGAACTAGACGTGCTGCAGTACATTAGCCGAAAACACTTTAACTTAGTGACTTAAGACTTAGTTTGGTTTACAAAGATATCATCTTGTCCTGCTTTACTGGCTGAAATGAAATGTATGTCTGAATACAGTGAACAAACATCCTGGTTTGCAGGATAATGAACAGTCTTGGCAAATACTGCTACCGACTGCCAGGTGACAATAGCTGTTAAGTCACAGTACATAAAGCAATCTTTCTCTGTTAACTGCTCACCATCTTTGTCTTTGGTCTTGCTGGAATCAGAGGACTGTTGAGCCACAGCTTGAACAGGACATAGATCTTTGGACTTGGAGTTCCTCTTTCGTAAGGTTGGTGGTCCTGCTGGAGCGAGAGGCTTCTGGATGGGTGGGGGTTTGGTTGATGCAGGCTGAGGAGACGGTGGGCGTTGTTTCATTGCGCCTGGAGAGGCTGGGCGCATCTTAGGGCTTTGCCTGCAGAAGAAATTGTGTGTGCCATCTTATTTTCTGACTTAAAACCAAATGAAAATGCATGTGTTTCATAACAAATCCTGTGCAGGAGTCTTACTTGGGTGCTGAAGGCGAAGGAGTCCTCTTTGGACCTGGACTGGGGGCAGGCGATGGCGAACGGTGCCGACCTGGAGTGGATGGGGAGGCAGGACGTTGCCCCACAGGTGATGTTAACTTCTTATCTTTCTGTAATTTCACAAAAAAAAGGACAAGTGGAGACAGTATTAATGAAACCACTCTCAAATAGGGTTATTCCAAGAACGTAAAACCAATTCCCACAAAATCCTTTGTGTATTATGAAATATTTATAGAACATATATAAAAACAAAGCTCTTTAGTGATAATTTAATTCCCCCCCCCCTCAAAAAAAAAGCTTCTACTTTGTAACAAACTCCTCACCGTACTCTTTCACTACAAATCTTTGTAGATTACTTTTGCTGCAGGTCTTGAAAATTAACTTTAAAACAATCACTGGTTTTTATTGAGATGTAATACAAATATAAGTCTTTGAATTCCAACTATCCACATTATCCATTCAGTACATCTTGAGGAGAGATGATAACATGATGGTGAGAAAAGTCAGAGGCTTCTGACATTGGGTCCCACGGTCTGGGTGGGGTCTGCTTTGCATGGCCTGATTTGTCCATAATCGGGCCACTGTGAATCCCTTTGTTTCATACTATGACAATGAAGCCCTTCACAACCACAGCGAAGGAGGAAGAAAGCCAGGTTGAGAGAGAACCAGGCACGGCAGACCAACAAGTGAGACCATACAGATAAGACCCTCAAGCATCAGCAGTATGAAATTTTGCCCATGTTTAAATGAGTGACCAGCAAAGTCCAAAGAGCAGCTGCATGAGTAACATTTCCCTATGGTTAGCATCCTGCAGAAGTACTTTGACAGGCAAATGTAGCAGGATATATGCATATACAGTGACATGAAAAAGCATTTTTTGCATATTTGTCTTACTTAAATGTTTCAGATCAAACAAATTCTAATATTAGACAGAGATCACTGGTTAGTTATCCAAACCTAACTGGCTCTATGTGGAAAAAGTAACCCACCCTCCTTTAAATGATGAGATGACTGTAATTAATCACATTTATGGAAACCTGAGTTTATTTTCTCTAACTACACCCAGGCATGCTTAATGTCAGAGCTGCTGAACCAAGAAATCATTTAAATAGAAACTGTCTAACAAAATAAAGTGGGCTAATAAATTTCGAAAAGCAACACACAGCGCTGCGATCTAAAGAAACAGCCGAGAAAGAAAGTTATTGACAACTATCAGTCTGGAAAGGGTTGCAAAGTCATTTCTAAGGCTTTGGGACTCCGGTGAACCACAGCAAGAGCCATTATCCACAAATAAAGAAACCTCTACACCTTCCCAAGAGTGTGCGACCTATCACAAATACTCCAAATGTGCATTGACGACTCACTAATAAATCAGGAAGGGGGCAATTTATTTCCCATGCCACTCTGTTTGTTGCACAAATTTTAATGTAGGAAAGTTTTCATTTTCTGTCAACTCCCTGCAGCTTCTGGATGACGACAAAGATTTCTGAGAAAAAGTGTGGCTGAACTGATGAGCCAAAAAGTATTGGTCATGCAGTAAACAGTGTTCAGATCCATGTTGTCATGAACAAATATGAACACCAAGCACAGCACAGACTACATAAAACCTACCACCACCACAGTAGAACAAACACTGACACTGCACACACAAATATCACACAGATTTATTAGTACACTAAACACACAGTCACTGTAGATAGCACTACTTGCTGTGCTCCCTCTTTTTCTGTCCATGATTTCCAAACAAAATTTAACAACTTTCCCACAGAAATAAAACCATAGCTTTGCTACACATGTTTTTTTAAATTATGTAATATAATCAAAACTCCATTAAATTATTTCAAGCACATCTTCTATGAGCAGAATAACATACCCTGTCGTTCTTATAGTCACAACCAAATGTGTAACCTAAATGTGTCTATGATCACTCGGAAATTTGGATATGGATTAGGAGATGCCAGCTAAAGCCCTACATCCAGGTTACTCCATCAGCAAATGCAAAGTGATACTAAACAAATCGAACATTATTTTTCAGTTTTCTGACATGAGAACATTTTTAAAATTGAGATCAACGATTAAAAGCTAAGTTCAGTTATTAAAACGAAGGTGTTCATACCATCGAAGGGTCCAGGGCTCCATCGGCTGACACAGATGTGGTCATGCTGCTCTTCTGTCGGTCGCTGCTGCGGCTGCGCACTGGACCACGGGGTGGGTGCAATGGGCTGGCAGAGGCTGAGCGAGGACACAGGTGACACTCTGGTAAAGGACACAGTCATCGCAGGACCATGGGAGCACAACCAATGGGAGGAGTGATAAGCGACCAAATTGGGCAGCAAAGCAGCAAAAAGCAAAAGGAGTGAATGATTAAGAAAAGAGGGGGAATACAGAGGTAAGGTTGGGGAAAGAAGGAATGAGGAAGGGAGAATGATGGATGGAAGAAATGAAAGGTTTTTGTAAGGAGAGAGAGCACAAAAAAAAAAAAAGCCACTTGTTAGATATAGCTCATTACGCAGGGAATAGCTTAATTTCTGAAACTCCGGACGGGCTGGAAATTACTGGAGACACATAACAAGCAGGGAGCAACAATGTGGCGAAAAACCCAAACACCCTGCAGCTTCTGGATACAACATGAACAAATCTAAACACCGGGCACCATAAGCACAGCACAACACACATTATGTAAAACCTACCACCACCAAAGTAGAACACACACTGACACTGCACACACACAAAAATCACACAGATTTATTAGTACGTTAAACACATAGTGAATGTAAATAGCACTGCTTGCTGTGTTCGAGTACAGTAACTAGAGTATGAGTAATATGCCTTTCTTTTGTCATGCTGTAACTGTTCCTAATCAGAGAGAGACCGACCTTTCAAGTTTCAGGACAGGACTGAGAAATAACTATAACACTGTAATGGCAAAGGCTCTAACACACTGTCTTTAGCAATTAGGTTAAGTCTAGCCTGCAGTTAGAAGAGGAAATGGTGCTGTGCACTAGCTTGCTGTGTCAGATTGAGGGATTAACCATCATAATCCCAAGACCCAAAGAACTCTCCCTGCCACAGCCTGTTCACTAAATTCATTCAGAGTTTATACTGCGCCGCAGCAATGCCTATGAAACCTACCCTGTAATGAGCTGCTGCTAATGTGGATGAGTCATGCTTCTACTGGGGCTATACTTAGCAGAGGATCTATACCTTCTAACAGGTTTGTAATGGCCACTCAATACTCAATAAACGTCACAGCCTAAAACCAACACTAGAAATGCAGCTGCAGCTTTGAAGTGCTTTACAGTACACTCCCCTTCCTACCTATAAAAACACACAGTCAACCAGGGAAAAAGAGGTATTCATTACTGTGGTTGTATGTTAATCATTGCAGGCTGTCAACCACTATAGAGCAATTGATCATTACCACCACAGCAAAAAACTTATTCACATTAAGGCATGTCAGTCATCGAGGGCGACATAAAAACCCACACAGGATGCTTTAAAGCATCCACAATATCAACACATATTATGCCTCACTATGAGAACTCATGGAATGGCACAACAGACCTACTTTGATGTAACAAGAACCAATAGGTAAGCAGCTTAGAGTAAATCTCCTAGTGTGGACCCTGAAGCTACTCTGAGGCAGAGAAATGCTCCTGACCAAGACTGCCCTGCACAGCCCAGCTCAGCACACAACAACTGATTGTATCAGATTTGGAAATGCATGTAAACTAAACGTGTGTGTGAGTATGTCAGTTTATTTGTTAGAATGTAAATACACTTTCCCGTGCTATTTATTATAATTAATTACTGTGCACACGTTAACATTTGATCACTACAACTGCAGTCAAAACTCTGAAGCGACCAATCACTTTGAAAAGTCCAAAAGTGCATCTGGGCAGTGGAATGAAATTATCTAGTTAACTGATAATGGGAATACCTAGGTTGACTTTTTACTGATGAAACGAGAGGGTAACCAGGTCTGTCCCTGGCCAACTTTCCTCTCTTTCAGGGTCTCCTAAGCGGAGGTTACCTGGGGCATCTGTTCCTTCAGCGGACAGGGCGGCAGCGCTCTTGCTCCTAGCTAGTGAGGCCTGGGTGGGTGTGAGCAGGCGACTAAGGACCCCTCCATCCACAGTAGTGGCCAGTGGCCTGCGAGCTACACGTCCGAAAAAAAACAGATCACCGGAAAAAAGCAAGAGAATGTAAAGGCCAAGATAGAAAGAGTGGATGAGAATGGGGAATAAAAGTAAAGAAACAAAGTTCACCATGTGATTTAACAAAAGAATCAACATACAGAACCAAAGGTAATGGCTCTCGTCTTAGATAGGTTCCTTATAAACTGTCTTTATACTTTCATAAATATAGAGATAAAGAAGGATACTCAATAAAAGACAGTACATAAGGTGACCGTGGAAAAGTACTGAGACTGATAAAAGAGTTTGCCTGGTAGGTGATTAGTGAAAAGCTCATCAAAGTAATGGTTCCTTAGGATTTGCTGAAGGGAAAAACAAATTATGAAATGACTTTAAAGCAATCAGAAGAATAATACTGGGTAAGAAGAAGAGAAGAAGAAACAAAAGAACAGTGACCATGTCTATTACAGTGCTACATCTAATGCTGTGCAATGTTCTCTATTGTGGAAATAGAAAAAACGGTCCAAATTATTCCTGCAAAGAAAGAGGATGACTACAGCCCTTCTAAAAGCACACTAGCTAAGACACTAAGAAAATTCCCCATTAAAGCTGCTGCTGATACTTAAAAAAAAAAAAAAAAAAAATGCAACTGAGAAATATTTGGAGCTTATAATAGGTTGTTTCTGCTACATGTACCTAAATGTTAGCTCTTCAAAAGGAGATTCTAGATTCTCACTTCCTTTTATAGCCCCTTCCTGAGGAGACATGTGTTGTTGACAGACCTGATTTTTGTTAATCATTTAGTGGCTGCCCGTTGAGGCTGGCAACATGACTTCCTGCCGTTTCCTACTCTATATCCAGGTCATAATTTCTGTAGTTATTTTTGTAATAAGGGTAGAATTATGAAAAAAAACCAAAAACTATTTAAACTCTAAAATGCTGATTCAGTATGGAAGACAGCTTATGTGTTGTGCTACTGCTCAGATTAAACACACAGAACATACATGAATAGAGGACAAGAGCTTTTTTCTTTAGTTTCATACATACAAAGAGACTGGTTTGGCTACGGAACAAATAAAAGCACTGGTTGTTAATAGCAACACACAGAGTACAGTGATTTGCTTAGGTCATTTGTGTGCTCTGTGGCTGCTAAGTTGGGATGGCACGGACACACACCGCAATGAAGCACGAGTGACTTAAATCCACCTATGACGTCATGTCGGAGGGAGAAAACAATCAACACTTTGTGACAACAAAACAATACACAGTGTTAGTCCAAGCAGAGCACACAACAGACACTTCCTTAGTGAACACTTGAAAAAAATGAAAAGATAAAAAAATAAAATACAAAGGGGGTTAAAACAAGATTCACTTCCAGTGAGAAATGTGACGTAGAGCAGCATCAGCTAGGTCAAGACAGCAAAAAGGTTAAAGGACTGATGGAACAAGCATAACATTCCCAGAAAATCAAAGACAACTGGCAGTGTAGAGAAAACTGCATCTGACATGGGTGTAAATGAGCATTTAGGTAAATGAGAACATGAATGGGGGAAAAAAAGGCCATATGCAGCAAGAAGATCCAGCATAAAAAAAAAAACCTTGAACTTCATAAGTCTGAAAGGAGATAAATGAGATTTATTATCCCTAAAAGCTCTTAGCAGCAGTCAGCGTTGTTAAGGATTTAAAAATACAAGAGGATTCAGAATGATGAAGTAGCATCAGAGCCACATGCTTATTATTTAAAGACAGATGCATGAGTGTTGCATGCTGATTGTTCATGCTAGCCACCTTGATCATCCGTTGTCCCCTTATCAGGCTTTGCAGGGGTCTGTGCTCTGCCCAGACTTACTCGCGTAAGGGAGGAACTTCTCTTCTTCACAGAACGGCCTGGGAACATGAGAGTGGAGTTATAGCCAAGCAGGCACTGGGGGAGTCAACAAGGAAACCCTTAAGAAAGTCTACAAGTCATGTGCACTTTGTTTTGCTTTATGTGAGTCACCGGGTTAAGGCTGACAGCAGCTGATGCCCCAGTTTAAGAGATGAAGCCTTGATACAAAGACGAGCTTCAACTTTTCCATCTGATCACACTAGCTCATTCTCCCTAAATCAGAGCTGACTATTGTAATACTACTTTTAGCCTCTTTAAGAGTTTCAACAAAATAACAAGCAATAAGCAAATCTTCAGACACAGCTGAGTATTTAATAAATGATGCATTATTTTGACAAATTGTGTATTTAACACAATATTGGTTATTAAAGTATCATGCGAGATGAAGAGGGGATCTTTTGCACCTGTCTGTTCCACCTGAAGCTTTTTGTCGTCTTCCTTACTGGCCTGATCAGCATTGGCATTGCTAGGTAACCGGTTACAAGATGAACTCCTTGGCTTAACACCTGAGGGACAATGATGAAATAACCCAAAGGTGAAATAACGAGACTAGCTTGTAACTGGTACACAACATTTTGGAATTAATTCATATATTGTATTCAGAGTGGTGGCATAATTTATTATGAAACAAGCTGAGAAGTAAAGAGAAACCAGTTATGCTGAAAAGGAAAATAAAAATGACACTGTCAGCCTGAAGAGGCTGTGAAGAGATGTGATTCACCCATCTGCATTGATTATTTCCTGTAGAAATCAAATACCCGTTTCATGATTTTTTTTTGTACACTTCTACTATATTCTATGTGAATCAAAACAGGATTGAGTATATTGTAACAGAAGAGTGACAGCTCTCTATAATACAAGAGAATATTCATGAACATCATCGTTTGGTGCTCAGCAGCCCTTAAAACTATTTACTGATTAATGAATCCGAAGAGATGCAGTGAATGTATGCAGAAGAACTGGGCAGTATCTGGAATCAGGAATGAGAAACAGATTAAAGCAGTTTTACCAATCCCTCTCTGCATCAGTGAGTCTGTTAAACCCTGGATATGAAAAAGGAGAGGGGTCAGAGTTCATTCAGTTTGTTCCATTTCAGAAATGGTACAATACCTGAAAAAGCTCATTCATAAATATTCTCACACACACACACAAAAACAAAACACTTTTGTTGGTTAAGTTGCAGCACTGGGTAGGATGGAAGCAGGGAGGAAGGAGGGGAGGGAGGGAGGCGAGGAGACTTACGTTTGTCAGGTGATTTGAGGAGGGTGGCAGATGAGGAGGATAGGCGTTTGCTCATGCCAGCCTCAGGCGGCTGTTTCAGGTTTGTGGTGGATGTGGAGCGCTTGTCCACTAAGAGGGAGGAGGAAAGACAGACAAGGGAGGCGGGATTTAAACCGGAGGCAAAAGGGAGGGAATTTAGGTTTACAAAGGGGAGTAAAATGATCTGCTGTATTTCAATACCTCCAACAGGCAAAGGGCTATAAGTTAATGCACCTGAAATAAAAGGACACAAACGATATTTGTCTTTGGGGATGAATTTTCCTATTAACTTAATTGATCATGCTATCGTGCTACTAACAAAAAGGGCATTCAGCAACACACCGAATCGACAACAGTACATGCCATAAGCATAAATATCAAAACACAGCCACTGTGATTTCAGAATCAGGCATTGCTGTTAGTTAGTAAACAAAAAATGTTTATGTTGAATCCCTCCAAGAGCAGAGCATAAACATATTGTCTGTGCCAGATACAATAGTGCTTTCTTGGAATACCATTCAAAGAGGAATTATTGCAAAGTCACCCATGTGATCTTGAAATGCACAACAATAGGAATGAGCAATTACAGCCAGAATTCAGGAATAAAATGGCTTTTACATTTAAAATCCTTAAATATTAAAAACGATTTGCATTCATGTCCTTACTTCAGGCCTGTGGGGTTTTTTTTATATAGATTTTCTAGTTCTTATGATTATAAGCTGTGTCCATACATATGTCAGTTAAGGCAGCTTCAGAGCATTAAGGATAGGTTGACTGCCTTTGCAAAAAAATGTATTGGGTATATAACAATTTGTTGATTAGTTACAATGTCAAAAACAACAATGGAAAAAGTGACCAGTAACCAAACCTATAGCTCAAAGGCTCTAAAGAAAAAAATATTAGTAAAATAACACAAACAAAAAACTGCATGAGGTTGGTGGAAACAAAGGTGTTGGGAGGAAGCATTGCCAGTGCATTTGGAGAGCCAGTGACTACCCATGCTGTGAAGCTACACCAGTGAATTAAATATTAACAAACAAAACCTTGATGACTCCTTGGTGGCTTTTCTGGTGAGGGAGAGGAGATAACTATAGTTACTGGAGATGAGGCACTGGCATCAGAATCTCCTGTGGGAAAAGACAGCTCTCAGGAAAGAGCGATAAAACATATGACATCATGACATATCCTTCAAATAAGTGAAAGAGATGAAGGTTAGAAATGGCTGATAGTCATCATCCTTCGCTTGACACAAACTGTTCAGATTATCATCTGAACACCGGACTATCATCACATACACCGGACTGGTTTGATTTTCTGGCGGAAAGGTAAAATGAGGGCTGAGAGGCCGTCTGAGAGGGCTTTGATCAGACAACAAGCAAGAATGCTGTGATGTGGGTAAACTAACTGCCTACGACTCAACTGGTTTTATCTGTTGTTTGCATTAGCTGCTGGAAAATAAATAAATAAATAAAACTGCAATGAACAGCTTTCAGATTTAGGCCAAATTTCATCCCAGCTGTGGTGTAGCACACAATACACTGTGAACTATCAAGGACGAACTAAAGTACCTGTTCGTCCATCTGAGTCTGTGGACAGTCCTCCCCAAGACCATCTTTTCTGCCTCTGCTCGACTTGCTGACTACGCTCCAACGTCCGCCTCATCACTGCCTCATAGTGCTCCTGAGGAGGGAAAAAATGCAAGTCATTTGCAGCTGACTAACATTTGAGCCTAAAACAAAACAAACAGAAGATGATCTGTAGCTTTCATAACTGTATTACAATTCATGGGCAACTGCACGGTGATGGTCCTTTAAAAATATGAAGACAAACAGTGTAAGCTGTGTTCTTATGTAAATTAGATTCTTTTAGTCACAAATGTCAGCTGAGCAGCAGTGAACGCTGCTGAGTAGATCACATTACTCTGCTTCCACCCGTGTTGAAGCTACCTTTTCTTCTTCCTGTTTCTGCTTCCTCTTCTGCTCCACAGCCAATCTTTTCTGCTCCTCCTTCCTTCGCTGTTCCTCAACCTTTTTCTGACGCTCTTCCATCTGACGCTCCACTTGCAGCTTGGCCTTGCGCTCCCGCTCCATGATCTGAGATTCTCGTAAAGCTGGCAATATGAGCATGCAGTACAAAGAAATCACTCGTCAGTATGTTGTTGTTTTTTGTTTGTTTGTTTTTTGTAGCTTGCCTCCACCAGTGTGTGAATGTGAGTGAATGAATAGTGGCATTGTAAAGCGCTTTGGGTGCCTTGAAAAGCGCTATATAAATCCAATCCATTATTATTATTATTATTATTATTTGTACTGAATTAACATATTAGTAAGACCAAACTAAGTAAATGAAAGATTTCTATTGGTGGGTTGCAGCTAACAGCTATATCCAATTGTTAGGTATTTTTGTTTAAAATGAATAAAACCATTGCTCATTTAATAAACTCAATATCAGATTATTTGAGTATTTACTATAGTTCTTTGGCTAAAATATCTTAATCCCAAAACTGGGGTTATCCTCTTACCCTGTTGTCTCTCTGCCTCCTCACGTCTCTCTTTTGCCACCCGCAGTCTGTCGTCTGTTCTAAGTGTGGCACCGTCAAGTACTGCAGGCACACGTGCATATGTGGTTTATAGGTAAAGCATGTGCATGAATACTTACACATATAACTTGATGGTGGATTACAATGCAGCATAGCGTAACAAAGGCTTTGTATCAGGCAGGCAGATGTGTGCATGTGACTCATTAATGAGCTTTGTCAACTGTTACGGTAATAAGGTGATGACTAAGATTTACCTGCATTAAGCCACACTGAGAGGATGGCAGAAAAGGATTGGGAGTTGCATCTAATGTTTCAGATTATGGACGACAATAACCTCACGAGAGGGTAATATCTGTAATAACCAGTTTGATTCTGTGTCAAGATGTAGTGTCATTTACCTGGCCTGCACCCCTGAGGTTTAGCTGGTGTGTTATTTGTAGGTCCTGGGCTGTTTCCCGCCAAGCTGCGCCTTTCCTCGGCTTGTGCCTGTGCAGCTGCAGCTGAATGAGAGAACAAACAAGTCCTTTTACACAGCTTGTTCAAGGCAGGAATAATGTGCCACTATTTTGCCTATTCTGCATAAAGTGTATGCAAGGCAGAAAGAGGTAGCAATGCAACACTATTGCGCTTTTAAAGCCAACAGTAGACACAGTAACAGCACCGATCTGATGTCTGCATAAAAGGTAGACTCACAATGTCGTGTTATACTTCCACCATCTCTGATTCCACATTGAGAATTGTGGGAGAATTATGCTGGTGTGGTGAGATTTGGACCGAATAAGTGCATCGTTCACTACCATTTTAAAGATGGCCTTTTACAAAAGGGTGTGGCCACTTTTAATCTGTCAATTCCAGTTTGGATCATGGGTATAAAAACTCCAGATTCAGAAATTCAAATGATTTGATTTGTATCAATTAGGGCTGCCACAATTAGTCAACTAGTCACGATTACGTCGACTATCAAAATCGTTGACGACTGATTTAATAGTCGACGCGTCGTTTGAAGCTTTGTAAGATCATAAAAGACGCAGGAATGAGTAGTAGGATTTAAGAGTGTAATAACGGACTGAAACAGAAGATGGCAGCACTGCATGTACAAGGATGCCAGCTGCCGTTAAACCCCGAAGAAGAAGAAGCTGTGTCCCAGAATTCATAGCGCAGCCCAGCTCAGTTTACAACAATGGCGGCAGCTAGTTAGTTTTAATATTACGCTTATTATTCTTTCTGGGTCACAAAATAAACGTTTAACATATTTTCAGGCGAGAATGTAGCTGTGTAAACCTCAAATATCTGCTCAGTTTATCAAGACACCACATATTTTCAAAAGCGCTCCGACATTTTCGGAGACGTCTGTTACCCACTAGCTCGATAGCTAGGCGGGGGCTAGGCTCACTAGAGCCGTGAGAACACCGGACTCCCGGCAGATCGTCTTTCAAACCCACTGCCGTCTTTCACTACTCAGGTTAAATATATATAAGTCACTTAGATAACTTCAAAATGTCATTATTTGGCTTTTTTTAGTATTTTATTTGTTCCTGAGTAAATCGGTTTGGCTGAGATTAAAGTTATAGTTTTTGCACAGCTGAATAAACGTCAAGAAGACAGCTGATTATCAGAAGTGTGAGATGCTCGAGAATATACTCCAGTGTCCTGTTATATTTTAGAAAGCAAGGAGTTTATTAAACTTCACCGAAACAATCTGCAAATTTCATTAAAATTTAATAAACTATCATCTTGTCTTTATTTTTAGTTAGCACATACCTTAAACACTTAAAGCTGTAAGCTAATGATAGTTATATAAGAGCAGATGCTGCTGGTGCAATAAGCTGTAAGTTTTACTCCAGTGGATGATGATCTGATTAGTCGACTAATCACAAAAATAATCGGTGACTAGTCGACTATCAAAATAATCGTTTGTGGCAGCCCAGTATCAATTAAAAGACAGTGTGATGAGGGACCAAAAGACTAATGTTATACAAATTGTATTTGTTTCCATGACACACACAAAGAAAAAAAAAACCCACACTTGTATTCCTAATCACTTATCCAGCAACAGGAAACTCTGGACATGTCAGCAGTACCTTGCAGGGAATACGGCTTCCACTGGTAAACATCCAAATGTTTGTTAAATACCAGTTACGTTTTGCTAAGATTTGGCACTTATCTCTCAAAAGATGTTCAGATAACAGAACAGTTTTTGGTTGCTTTGTCTTAGTCTGTTCGGAGGTCTATTTTAGATGGCAAAGGGTCCTTGGCCAAGACATTGATCTAAAAGTTGAGCTTGATGGCATGCAAGCACCTTACAAGGGGGCAATACTAAGGCCCAAAGCACAGCAAGTACAGTCTGTTTAAACCATTAGTTCAAACCAAAACAATTTGAATAAGTTGTTTTTTGTTCTGTTTTGTTTGCTTTCCATATGAATGGTAAATCTGGAGAGATCTAATAGATCTGAAGCTATACAACAATCCAGTTATTCAACCATGTTTGTGGTCAGCTGTGTAGTTATTCATACAGTGCTTTCTGTGACAAGCTTCAATGATAAAGTAGAATAAAGCCCTTGTTAGCTTCCTGGTATACAGCATGTGCGCCCACAGGTGTACAAAATTTCATAAGTATAAAAATATCCAGAAAACATAAAACCAACTGATGACTAATTTCCACATGTACCCAAAAACACAATCATTGCTTTAACAGTTGATGTGCGTGCAGTCTGTCCTATAAAAAGTCTAACTCCAAGAGAAGATCAGCTCTCCCATCAAACTATCGCAGGGTCAATAGTCCTTTCTTCAGCCAAAACTATTCATTAAAAAAAAAAAAGTATGGTTAAAGGACAGAAAGTCAGGAAGGACGCACATGAAGGACATGATCAAGCTTTATGAGCTGTAGTATCAGTTACCAGTTTCTTCCCTTCTTGTTGCCATTATATAAATGCTGACAAAGAGCAAAATGATAGTCCTGTGACTGTGAAAGCATCTCACCGTCTCCACTGCAACTAAGCAATCCTATTGTTAATCTTAAAAATATATATTTTCTATTATGAAAACAACTTTTCATATGCTTTTTAAAAAAGATCCAGAAAAGACTCTCTCCAGGTTTTAACACAAGCAATTTATCTCATATGACTAATGTCATAATAAAGTTAAAATGCTGGAGATATTAGGAAAGCTCTGGAGATTTCTTGTTGCAAAGGAGCTCCTTAAGTACTAACAAACTGGGACCTTATAAAAATGTAGGATAAATAGAGCCAATAATTGTTTAAGGAAGCAACACTGTTGTCGCACAAAGGTATTCTAAGTGACTGAAGAAAAAATGTTCCTGATCTTGTTAGACTGCTCATGCGAAAAGCATAGTACTTTTTCTTTGAATTAAAAAAACAAAAAACAATGATACCATCAAGCAAATCCAGTATTTGTTTTCCCATGTTAACATGAATCATGTGTCCTTATTCTAAATCTATTTTCATTTAGTTGGTGGATAAAGCAAGATGCTGGTCTTTACCGTCTTCTATGTATTACAAATAGTAATTTAAACGCACAATTTTTCAATTATTAACTGCCGGCTGCTACCCAGATGAATGCATGGGTTGAGGAACCCATTGTCAAGTTTAATGCTACTCAGATTGCTTCACACTCAAAACCTCCATGACTGAATCACTGCCCGTCCTACACAGAGCTTTGCAAACCTACGTCTACATGCTGTAGCCATCATGTGGCGTACTGTCAAAATACTTGGAACAACCGGTAATGTGGGCTACTCTCAGTTGTCTTTGTGCTGTTGTTGGCCCTGTTGTTTAACCCTATGCTGCTGAGAAGACAGAAGTCATAAGATACAATGAACTATTCGGTACTGATACTTAAGTAAAACTGGTTGTTAAAAAAGAATGAAAACTGTCCCCTGCACGCATTATCTGTGCTTTCCATGTGTTCTTTTTTATCTTTGATGTGTTTTTGCTTTTCTTCCTCTTTGTGATCAACTCAGCTATTATTCTCTTTCCGGTTCATCATGACAGGCCACGCACCAGCACCTCAAACTCACTGAATGCTCACTGAATTCTCACAACCCTCATAATCCCACATTATTTGCCACCAGGGTAACATATACTATAGACAGCTTTAAAAGAAGCAGCCCCAGAGAGATTGAATTTAAGAAAACAAAGCTTTTCACCAGGTTGCTATGAGCAAACCACTCACCCACCATAGACACTGAATGGTTTTCCGAGTGTAGCATGTTCTCCTTGTATAGAAATCAACTCTACAAGTATTACCTTACTCTGTAAGGCAGAGAAGACAATGGACCCTTCTTACACAATGCAACAGTGCCAAACTTAGCAGTAAGAACTGTTGACTTCGTAGACATTGTTTACCCCAGTGAAGCAAAGGAAATTAGACCTGTCAGGTTAACTATTCATGCACCAATTATCCAAACGGCAACCTCAATGCTCTCCAGTCAGAGACGTTTATGAAGGGTCGAAGTGTGCAGCTGGTTCTCAGATGTTTACAAGTCACTTCACTTTTGTACTCAGACTCTCCTCTTCATTCCATTTGGAGAAGTCAATAAATGACGAAAGATTTGACTGCACTTTAAACAGTTTTGCTGTCACACAACACGTAGCAGATTACTCGTAAATAGACAGAGGATTCATACATTACTTATCAGTCACTATTTTTTTGTCATTAGGCAACAAATACTTGGCAATCATACAATTCCACAAGGAATACAGTAATAGAAAATCTTTATTAAAGTTATAGGAGTTTACATTATACGTTTGGTTACTAGTGTCTAAAATATGGATGACTGGACACTGATGAAACCTCTATAACTCTACAATCAACATATTTTTCCCTATTAGAGTGAAAAATCAGAAAAAAACAATGGGGTACGCCGTCACAAGATAACTGATATTAAGTTACAGACAGCAAGGACAGGTGAAGTGCTTCTCATTCATGCTTATGCCTGTATCAAGGATCATACTGACTCAGAAATTAGATGAGTCATAGCTACAACAAAGAGAAACAAACCAAGCCTGAAGACTCACTCAGGACTCAGTGTCAAATCATATCAAATTTGTAATTTGCAATTTAAAGTGTTTTTATTAACAGTTAATGAAATGGTGGTGATATAACAAACTGCAGCAGAATAAGGATACGTTTATAAAGCGGGTGATGAAATGCTATATTTATATAAAACAATGTAAACAATTTAGCTGCTAATCCAAGCATGAAGTTTGACCTTGGTCATTCTGTAGTAGGTTTCATACTTCAAGATTGTAATTTCAGGAAACTGTACTGTCTGCAAAGAGGGAAGTATGACAGAAAGTGCAAACTGAGGAGGCAGCAGCTGTTAAGCTAAAAAAAAAAAGAAGTCTACTAGCGTGCAGCATAATCACCTGTAAAATCAATTTTTACTGGGTTTTTGGCTTCCACAGTCACAGTAGTAGTGACTGTAGTTTTAAGGAATAAGCAAAATATATATAAATACATCCACGCGAGAGATGCATCT